TCCAGGCCAGCTGAGGCTACAGAGAGGCCCTGTCTCAAAAATACCAAAAAATAAAAAAATTAAAAAAAAGAGAGAAGAAATGGAAAAGATAGTTGAGGAAATTTCCCATAAAACACAATACAAAGGCAAAACTGATAATATTTGGAAGCACTTTGCTTTCAGAAGTAGAAAATACAGAAAGGAACACACATACATGCACATATATACACACACAAACTGATGGATACAAGTTCCCTAACTGAAATGGCCCACCAAGGAACAAAATGTAAAAGTATTATCTTTTAGAAATTCACATTGAAAGACAGATGAAATTATGTGTCTTTGATTCCCAGGGGAAAACACAGGAACGATGCAGGCATATAAGTTAAGTCAAACCAGCCAAGAAATGACAGATACCTAAGAATTTATCCAATTATTTACTCTAGTTCTGCATATACTTAAAATTTACCATAATAAGGAATTGAAAAGAAAAAAGTTGAAGAAGATTCAAATAATACAGAAGTACATGTTAGGACAGTGAAACACTCTGTCCTGTCATCCATCTTCTCAGAAGAAACCCCATTAGTTTGGAATCTTTTCAGATGTCTGGAGATATGCTTAATATTTACTTACACACTTGCACATACATACTCTATCTACTGCAGTGATATCGTGATACACATATTGTTCCACAGACTTGCTTTCTCATGAAATAATTTATCTCTAATATCTTGGGGCCGAGTATCACATCAAGACTTGAATATACCATAATTTATCGATCCAATCCCTTAATGAGAAAAATAAAATGTTAGCAGTTCCCCTATTAGCAATGTATTTCCATTGTTGGCTTTAAATAACTGTATTTTACTAATTGGGTAAAAATTTTAATTTTCTTAAATTTTTGATGCTTATAAATCTGTATTACTACTGTAAAACTAATGTGAAACAAAAATTAAATACCAGAAAACTTCAAAATCAAATAAATTTACATTAACAACACAGATTTCATGTGATGCTTTGCTGAAACTGAAATACGGCTTGCAATCTGGGTGATACTGTAGTAAAATACTTAACAAACATGCTGCTTTGTATGCCTGATGATGCCTCTCTAGTCCAGCAACTGAAAATCTTTGCACCTGATGGGACTCACTTGGCAAGGCCATTTACACAGTAGGCTGGACTCTGCTCTTTTCACATTATACTGCCATGACTAAATCTGGCACCAAACTTCACAAACAAATACAAATAAGGGGGTTGAAATCCCATGAAAGTAACTGATAATAATATGACCCATAGGACACATATACCAAGTTTATAAACAATGATGAAAGACCACTTAAAGTCTTGTTAATTCTCACAGAAAAGTCACAAGTACAAGAATTATGTCCCTTAGGGCTGAAGAGGTGGCTCAGCAATTAAGAGCACCAGCTGTTCTTGAAGAGGAACCAAATGCAGCTAACAACCCTCCATAACTCAGTTCCAGGTGATCCAATTCAAAGTCCTAGCCTCTGTGGGCATTGCATGCATGTAGTGTACTTACATACTTGCAGGCAAAACACTCAATATACACATAAAATTAAAAAAAATTTGTAAAAAGAGGCTGTTAGCTAATAAAATATTAAAATTTCTAAGGTGACGTGGCCTCATTATGGCAGCAACAACTGTAGTTCACAAAGAATTTGTGAAGTTTAGGCTTGTAACCTGGATAAAGAGATGAAGAAAATTCGTCAAGTTATCCAAAAACATAATTATGGTGCTATGGACACTGAGTTTCCAGGTGTGGTTGAAAGGCCCATTGGAGAATTCAGGAATAAGGCAGATTATCAATATCAACTATTGTGGTGTAATGTAGACATGTTAAAGATAAGTCATCTAGGGATGACATTTATGAATGAGCAAGGAGAATACCCTCCAGGAACTTCAACCTGGCAGTTTAATTTTAAACTTAATTTGATGGAGGACATGTGCACTCAAGACTTTATTATAGAGCTAGTAGCAACATCTGGTAACCAGTTTAAGAGACACGAGGAGGGGGCTGGAGAGAAGGCTCAGCAGTTAAGAGCACTGGCTGTTCTTGAGGAAGACCCAGGTTTGATTCACAGCACCCACATGGCAGCTAACAACTGTCCCAAACTCCAGTTCCAGGTGATTCGAGGGCCTCTTCTGTCCTCCGTGGGCATTGTACGACACAGGTGTACTTACCTACATTCAGGCAATACACGCATACACATAAAATAAAAAATAATAATAAATAAAATATTTTTAAAAAGGAAAGAAAGAAACATGAGGAGGAAGGAATTGAGACTCAATACTTTGCAGAACTTTTTATGACTTCAGGAGTGGTCCTCTGTGAAGGACTCAAATGGTTATTGTTTCATAGTGGTTATGACTTTGACTATTTAATCAAAATTGTGACCAACTAACTTGACTGAGGAAGAAGTTGACTTCTTTGAGATCCTTCAATTATTTTTTTCCTGTCATCTATGATGTGAAGTATCTCATGAAGGTTGCAAAAAACTCAAAGATGGATTACTGGAAGTGCTGAACAGGTAGCCCTGGAACAGACTGGGCCACAACATCAGGCAGGATCCAATTTGCTGCTAACCCGAACGGTTTTTTTTTTTCAAAATGAGAGAAGTATGAAGATATCAGTGCTTTTCTCTTGGTTGTTAGAGAACATTAAAAATCTGATGACTAGGGGCTGGAGAAATGGCTCAGTGGTTGAGAGCACTGACTGTTCTTGCAGAGGACCCGGGTTCGATTCCTAGCAGTCACATGGCGGCTACGCACCGTCCTTAACTCTGGTTCAGGGAATCCAACGCCCTCTTCTGACCTCTGTGGTATTGCACTACACGGGTGCACTCACATACATGCAGGCAATACACTCATACACATAAAAATATCAAATAAAAAATTTTTAAAAAAGGGCTTCTGATGACTAAAATTCAGGGCAACTGGAACCTACTAAGTGAAGATACAATTAGAGGTACTATGTGTTACATCTACCACACTTGAATCAAAATGTTCAATAACTCCTCCTGAAATGTAATTCATAAAGAAATGGAAGAATAATATCTTTATATAACAAAGTTTAAGCTATTGCAAAAAAAAAAAAAACCAACAAAAAAAAGAATTTCTAAGGTGACAATGCTTTATGTGCAATACAGGCAAAAAATACAAAGGCAAGGGCCAGACGTGGTGGAGCCTTTAACTCCAGCACTCAGAGGAGGAGTCAGAGGCAGGTGGATCTCTGTGAAATCGAGGCCAACCTGGTCTACACGGAGAGTTCTAAGCCAGCTGGGGCTACAGGAAGACCCTATCTCAGCCCAACCTCCCTGCTCCCCACCACCAAAAAATTACAAAGGTATTAGTCAAGACTGTGTCCTTCAAGGTGAATACAGTCAACACTATTGCTAAGAAAAGAAATCTTGCAAATGCCTAAAAAGAATAAGCAGGTAACGTATCTGAGAAACAAAGTGAAAATGGGCAGTAAAGGTGCCTGAGTAGTACAAGCCTCACCTGAAAACAGATAAAGCCAGTGTGAAACATTAGGTCAGTTTTGGTCTAGCACTATGACATTTGCTAGATTAGGGATCTAGACTGAGAGATCATGTGGTTTGCAAGTGCTGAGGGTTTCCTGAGATGCAGGAGTTTCAAGGTTAAAATTAGGGGGAGATGTAGAGAAGGAAGGAAAAAAGGAAAGGAAGAAGGAAAAAGAATCTATAAAAACTAGCTGAAAAAAACAATAAACTAATGGGGCTGGGGAGATGGTTCAGTGGTTAAGAGTGCTTGCTGTTCTGGTAGCAGGAAGGAATTTGGTTCCCAGTGCTCACAGCAGGCAGCCAACAATTGCCTGTAACTTTAGCTCCTGGGGATCTGACACCCTCTTCTGGCCTCTTCAGACACCCACATACATGTGTACATACACACAATCACACAAGCACACACATATATACACAAAAATAATTTTAAAATAGACTAAGGAAGAAAAGAAGAAAGGATTTTGCTACACATTTAATACTATTAGTAGTATATACTAAAAAAGGGGTATGTATTATAGAAGAACAGTTACTATTGCTTGAACATACTAGTGGACACACTTCACAAATACTGGCCTGGAACTTGCTATGTAGACCAGGCTGACCTCCATCTCACAGAGATTTTCCTGTGTCTGCCTCCCAAGTGCTGGTTTTAAAGGTATAAGCTACCATGCCTGGCCACACACTAGTTTTTAATACAGAGATATATTCATGGGCTAGATAAATAAGCTCTCTGGCATTCTAATGGGAGAAGACAATTTATACTTTAAAACCAAATGAACAAGGTCTAACATGTACAAGCCCCTGTGTTCAACTCCGAGCAATACATAAAAACAAATGAACCTGTTAATTTCAGTTACTAAGAGGAGTTATAAGGAAATTAAAGGCACTGTCATGATGTGCTGTTGGGAGAAGCTTCAGAAAAGCCTTCAGAGTGCCTGACACTTGAACTGAGACTTTAATAACAACAAGCTCAGATCCATCAAAGAGATGGGTGAAGTGGGAGCCTTGCAGAAAGAATATCAAATGTGAAGGTTAGTTCCAGGAATAGAAAGACCAATGCAGATGGATATAAAGCAGAAAGGAGACAAGTAGATGAGGTCAGAGCACACTGGGCCTCTAAGATCAAACCAACAATTTGAATTTGAATCAAATGCAATGAGAAGGCAGATTGTAAGCAGAATACAAGAGCACATGTTCATTTCATAAAGAGCATCCAAGTGCAGTGTGAAGTATGAACTGTAGCTGAGTATATATTCAATACAGTCCAACTTCTAAACAAAGATTTATATGTAGATCCTGTCATTATTCAAAAATATCAGCAAAAAAGAATAACAAAATAAGTAATAATTACATTTTATATTCGTACAGCACCCTAGTTAAGACAATGTAAAAAATAAAAATGCAGTTCCTCCTATTAAAGGAAACCAGTGTTGAAAGTAACAGCATTATGGGGTGAATATTACAGTAACTGGGTCTTACCAAGTTGGTTCTTCATTCCCATGAGCACAGAGTTCATATGTGCTTTGGACGCGTAGAGTTTGCTCACAGCCTTCCTCGACCTGATCATCTCCTTGGCCAGAACCACACAAACATCCTTTTGGCCCTTCTTGGCTGCATCTTTCACAGATCGTTTCACTTTCTCTTCTTCTCTTTGGATATCTACATTTAGAATAGAACATCGAAAGCTATGGGGTAGGGGCTGGAGGGACAACTTGAGGTTAAGAGCACTTGCTGCTCAATCATACGGATCAGAATTCAGACCCCAACACCCAAATTGGAGGCTCACAAATGCGTGTTAACTCCAGCTCCTAAGGCTCTGACACCCTCCACTGGCCTCTGAGGGCACCTGCATATACATGTGCATAAATACACACAGACACATGCCCACACACACATAAATTTAAAAAATGGGTAGATTAGACTTGCTAGCACTCAAATGTTTTTATTGTAACTTAAACATTATCTGTTAAATAGAGAAATTATCAGAACACATAAATGGAATAAAAATAATTTGTGTATGGGTATTTTTTTGAGAATGTGTAGGTTTTTTTTTAAAAAAATTATTATTTTTATGTGTAAGTGTGTATTGCCTGCATGTAGGTAAGTGGTGTTGCAAAAGGCCCATGGAGGACAGAAGAGGCTGTTGGATCCCCTGGAACTGGAGTTACAGACAGTTGTTAACTGCCATGTGGGTGCTGGGATTCGAACCCAGGTCTTCTGCAAGAACAGCCAGTGTTCTCAGCCGCTGAGCCATTTCTCCAGCCCCACAAGAAGCTTTTATAAATACTGTAAAGGGGAGTTGGACGTAGTGGTGCACGCCTTTAATCCCAGCACTCAGGAAGCAGAGGCAGGTGGATCTCTTTGAGTTCAAGGCCAGCCTGGTCTATTTAGTGAGTTCTGGGCCAACTGGAGCTACAGATAGACCCTGTCTCAAAAAGACATTAAAAACAAACAAACAAACAAACAAACAAACAAACCTGTAAAGCCATTCGAGAACATGTTCTGATAATAAGTAGCATTCTCACAAGTATGTGAGTACAATCTCTACAGAATCCTTGAAAAGTTTTAATAACCTGCAACCAACATGGTGGCCCATGCCTTTAATCCCAGCACTTGGGAAGCAGAGGCCTTGATCTTATAGATCAACGCCAGTCTCTGAGTCCCAGGCTAGCTGGGGCTATAAGGAAACACTGTCTCAAAAAAGCCAAACAAAAAAACAAAAATAAAAAACCCTGCAACATAAGAAAATCTGAATATATTAAAAGCACTGTAACAGTATCAACTAGAAGTCAGACATGTATTATTATGTTTTATAATAGTACAAACTCTATTTTTAAAAACTGTGGCAAAATACATATAACAAAATTTAGCATCTTAATCAATCATAACTGTACAATTCAGTAGTACTAAGCACATTCATATGGCTGTGCAATCATTACTACCATCCAGCGTTAGAACACAAACTCTACGTCCATTAGACAGTAAATTCTTTCTTCCCAGTCCCTGGCAACCATCATTCTATTTCGTCTCTATGCAACTGACAACTCTAGTTAGCTCATGTACGCGGAATCACACAGCATTTGTATTTTTCTGATTCTACTTAGTGTAATGCCCTCAAGTTTTATCCATGAAATAGAGTGTTACAATTTTCTGTATGTAATATACATTTTTATATTCATTTACTGATAAACACTTCAGTTGCTGCCAACCTTTAGCTATTATGACTAAAATTCTGTTGGGGTATTTATATACAAAGTTTTTTGTGCTTATGCTCTAAAATCGAACTGTTGGAGCATATGTAATTCTATTTTTAATTTCCTCAGGAACTGCTATATATTTTCCAAGATGGTTGCATTATTTTATATTCCTAACAGTAGGCAAGAATTCCAATTTCACTAAATCCTTACCAATACTTGCTATCTTCTGGTTTTGTTTTTGATAACACCTATATTGTTGGGTATGAGGCAGTTATCATTGTGGTTTGAGTTACATTTCCTTAATGACCAGTGGTGTCGAACATTTGTTCACTGGTATAACTTCTTTTTTTAATTTATTTATTATTTTTACTCTATGCATATGCATGTATTGCCTGCATGTAGGTAAGTGCACCCGTGTCCTGCAATTTCTGCGGAGGTCAGAAGAGGCTGTTGGAGCCCCTGGGACTAGAGTTACAGACAGCTGTTAGCTGCCATGTGGGTGCTGGGATTTGAACCCAGGTCTTCTGCAAGAACAACCAGTGTTCTTAACCGCTGAGCCGCCTCTCCAGCCCCATTGGTATAACTTCTTTAGAGAAATGTTTCCTCAAGCACTTTGCCCAAATTTTTTAAATTTTATTTTATTTTATTTTATTTTTTGGTCTTTCTGAGACAGGGTCTCCCTGTAGCCCCAGCTGACCTGGAGCTCGCTATGTAGACCAGGCTGGCCTCGAACTCACAGAGATCTGCCTGTCTCTGCCTCCCAAGTGTTGGGATTAAAGGCATGCGCCACCACGCCTGGCTTCCTTGCCCATTTTTAAGCCGTATAGTTTTTTGAATTTTAGAAATTCTCTATATACTCTGGAGATGAATTCTTCATCAGACATAGTAACTTTAAAATACTTCCTCCCTTTTGTACAGATTTTTTATTATGCTGGGTAGTATATTTTGCTGTACAAAAAAATTAATTTTTATGACGCTCCACTTTTTCTTTTCTTTTTCCCTTTTTTTTCCCCTATAGCTCCAGGTGACCTGGAACTCCCTATGTAGACCAGGCTAGCCCTGACCTCACAAAGATTCATCTGCCTCTGCCTCCTGAATGCTGGGATTAAAGGTATGTGCCACCATGCCTGGCTCTATTTTTCTGCTCTTTTGTTTATGCCTTTAGTGTTTATTTTAGAAACTATGCTAAACCTAATCCTTAAGTTTGCCTTATGTTTTAACAATTTTATAGTTTTACTTCTCATGTTTAGGACTCTGATATATACTACTTTTTTATACAGTGTTAGCTAAGGGGGTCCAACTTCATTTTGAGAACAAGTACCATAGGAAATATATAATTTTTATATAAGGAGAGATGGGGGGAGGGAGTAGCTCCTATACCGAGCACCATTCACTGGTAACCTCCTGTTTCATAGCACTAGGAAGACTTTGAAGAACTAAAAGTCATTTATAGGGGTAGGTGTGGTAGTATACACCTGTAATCTCAGCACGCAAGAGACTGAGGCAGAAGGACCATGAGTTCTAAGTCAGTCTAGGCTGCCCACCCCCTAAAAACAATTTGAAAAAATCTAGGTGCAATTGTTTTTATGTGGTGACAAGTACAAGACATAAAGGACATAGGCCCTCCCCATTCCAGCTTCAGACCCTCTTCTAACTCTAGGGTCAAGACATTTTATTCCTGCTTTCTGAGAGTGTTAATAAATACAATGATAGGGAATAAAGCAGGAAATCTTGGGCTACATGCCTAGGATGTTGGTGAAGTGGAGTTGCACATCTGCGGTCATCTGTCCAGCTGAACTTGGCTCTAGCACGTGCCAGAACATAAGCCCCTAACTTCATCTTTTGCATGTAGATTTACAGATTTCCCAGCATTATTTGTTGGGGTGACTATCTTTTATTCTACTAAATAATCTCACACCCTTGTGGGCGATAACTCTCAATTCCACTGCATCTGTCTAACTGCCTTTCTTTATGCCAGTATCAATCACACCGATTTTGATCTCTCTGCTTAAGTTTTGAAATCAGGAAGTGTCTTCTAATTTTAGCCTTCCTTTTCAAGATCTTGTTTTATTTTGTTTAGTTATTCAGTCCCTTAAGATTACAGATGAATTTTAGGATGGATTTTTCTATTATGGGAGAAGGGTGGGATCCTGGGCAGCACTGATATCTTAACATTAGGTGTTTCAATCCACAAACAAGAGATAGCTTTCTATTTATTCATGTCTGTACTTTCAACAATGTTTTATTTTATTTATTATTTTTATGTGTATGAGTATATAGCCTGCATGTGTGTAAGTGCACCCGTGTCATGCAGTGCCTGCAGAGGTCAGAAGGAGGCACTGGATTCCCCTGGAACTGGAATTACAGACGGCTGTTAGCCACCATGTGGGTGCTGGGAACTGAACCCGGATCCTCTGCAAGAGCAGTCAGTGCTCTTAACCACTGAGCCATCTCTCTAGCCCCTCAACAATATTTTTAAATTTCTGTAAGTCTTTGCTTCCTTGGTTATTCCTAAGCACTTATTCCTAAACACTTTATTCCTTTAATGCTAGTATAAATCAAATTTTTAAAAATTCCTTTTCACAAAATTCACTTTAAGTGAATAGAAATTAATAGGCTATCCTGATACTTTACTGAATGCCTTAGTTCTACAGCTTTGTGGTATTTTTAGGGTTTTACAAATATATGATTATATTATCTATACAAAAATAATTTTTCTTTCCAACTTGGACTTTTCTTTTTCTTATCTAACTACTCTAGCTGAAACTTCCAATACTGTTGAAGAGAACTGGCATCTTTAATTTTTTAAATTTATTTTTATTTTATGTGTATGAGTGTTTTGCCTGCATGTAAGTATAACCATGTCCTGCAATGCCCACAGAGGCCAGAAGAGGGCATCGGATCCCCTGGAATTGGAGTTACAGACAGTTGTTACCTGCCATGTGGGTGCTGGGAATTGAACCTGGATCCTCTGGAAGAACAGCCAATGCTCTTAACCTTGAGCTATCTCTCCAGCTCCAAGAACTGGCATCTTTAAATGGTTTCTGATTCTAGAGGAAAAGCTGTTAGTCTTTCATCTTTGAGTATGATACTTCCTTTAGGTTTTTCACATATGACTTACTATGTTGAAGTAATTTCCTTTGCTCCTACTTTCTTCAGTGCTCATATAATGAAAGGGTATTAAATCTGTCAAATGCGTTTTCTACATCGAGACGATCATGTGGTTCCCCCACCATTTATTCTGTTAATGTAACGTTTTATATTGAATTTTGTATATTGACTCATTCTCACATTCTAAGATAAGTCTCATGTGGCCAAGAGGTAGAGTCCTTTTATTATGCCGAATTTGATTCCTACTATTGTACTAAGTATTTTTACAGCATTGTTCACAAGGTTTATCAGCTGACAGTTTTCTTGTTGTCTTTGGCTTTGAGTTAAAGATATGCTTACGGAATGATGAAGACAGTCCTCTGCACACTTTGGAAGTTCAAGAACTGGTATTAGCTCTTTTATAGTGTTTGATAGAATTCATCAGTGAAGGCATTAGATCCAGGGATTTTTATTGATCAAAAGATTCTTTGATCATTGATTCAATGATCAAGGTTGACTGAGACTAGACTTGTGGCCTAATACACAGTCTATCCTAGAGAATGTACCATGAAGAAATGCATATTCTGCTTTTGTTGGGAATTCTGCATGTTTAAATAGATGGAGTTGGTTTCTCTAATTGTTCAAATACTGTATTTTGTTGCTTAGCCATTTAATGAGATAATGAAATCGCAACAATTATTGTAGGCCTATCGATCCCTTCAATTATTTTTCCACACACACATATTTAAGATTTATTTTTACTTTATGTGTGTCTGTGTGAATTTTATTTTATGAACTTTATTTTATGAGTGTGTCTGTCCATGTGGCAAAGGCCAGACATGGGCTTTGGATCCCCTGGAGCTGGAGTTACAGGCAGTTGTGAGCCACCTGACATGGCTGCTGGAAACCAAACTCTGGTCCTCTAGAAGAGCAAAATAAACATTCTTAATCACTGAGCCATCTCTTTAGCCCTCCTCTATATATTTTAATAAGTGTATAGTTAGATGGATAAATGCAAATGATCAGGTAGTTATCTTCCTATATTGGAACTTTTATTAATATATTATATGCTCTTTAACTCCTAACATCTTTTTTAAGTTTTTAAAATTTATTTATTCTTATTTTATGTGTATGAGTGTTTTGCCTGCATTTATGTAAGTACACCTATGTCAGGCAATGCCTGAGGGGGTCCAGAAGAGGAAGTCAAATTCCCTGGAACTGGAGTTACAGGTGGTTGTTTGCCACCATGTGGGCGCTGGGAATTGAACCCAGGTCCTCTGTAAGAGTAGCCAGTGCTCTTAACCACTGAAGTCATTTTGCCAGCCCCTTAATCTATTTACTTTAAAAAGTAATTGCCAATAAAAAGAGAATTAAAGCCAAGCATGGTGGTTCATGTCTATAACACCAGTACACTGGAGGCTGAGGCAGAATGAGGTAGGCAAGCATAGGGAAAACCATAGCAAGCTGGGACTCTACTTGACTTGGGCCATGCACTTAGTAGGTCCATGCTAGGACCCTTACCTGCATCAAGCTGCATAAACACCCCACTTCAAACAATGGAAGAAGTCTCACCTCCCCTTACAACTTTAAATGACTCCCCTCTTATGATCAGTTTCCATTCAAACATATTCCAGGACATATCTGGTACAGGAGGCAGGGCTCTGAACTGATTTTGGGTGAGAGCACAGTAAGGCAAACTGTGTCCTCTGCATGAGCTTTTATGATACACACACACACACACACACACACATATATACCTACGCATTATGCTAATGAATACATAAGTGGGCATACATACAATTAAAATCAGATGCATCAAGGGATATATATGATACCAATGAACTATATGTGCTAATTTCATACATTTTACTTGTTAAGTGCCCTATTATATATATATATATATAGACCATCTCTGGTTGCCATTTTTTCACTCCTCTTATCACTCATGTTTTCACAGCTTGCAGAAAAGACCAAAACCCCAGCACTTTGAATAACACGCCCTTCCTACAGGCTGTGCCTTTCTCCTTGGTCTTCTGCCTGCCAGCTTCCAGATCTTCACCAATATGTGAAAAAAGACTGTTAGGGAAATACAGATTTAAAAAAAAAATATATTTATTTTTTGTCTTTTTGAGACAAGGTCTCCTTGTAGTCCCAACTGGCCTGGAACTCACTATGTAGACCAGGCTGGCCTGGAACTCACAGAGATCCACCTGCCTCTGTGGAGTGCTGGGATTAAAGGCATGCACCACCACGCCGGGCCCTATATTTTATTATTTTCATTTTATGTGTATGAGTGTACTGTCTGCATGTTGTGTGGAAAACAGTTGTTTCATAGATTTTTTCCAGTTTTTCCTTTTTGCTTTGTTCAAGCTTTCATTTACAACTGAAGTATAGGTATAAGTCCCAAATCAATTACTCTATCATGGCTGGGAATAGAATTCTCATCTCTACCGTTCAGGTACTAATTCTTCTCCAATCATGATAAAAAGAAAAAGTCCTTTAAGGGGTAAGAGGATAGAACACATATGATATGAAAGTAGACGGGAGGAATACCGAAGTAAAGCAAGGTTAGGGGCAGGACGGCAGGGGAGGGAGGGATGGGTGAGTTAACCCAAAGTAAGGCTATATGAAAACCCTTATGGAAATCCACTACTTTGTAAGCTAATTTTAAAATATTATTTTTAAAAAAAGAAAAGCAGAGTCTCAACAAAACTATTCTGTACCGGAGGACAAAATTTCTCCCAGAAGACATGGATTTTCAAATGAAAATCTCAGCATCAGGCATGAGATATCTCCCTTTGAGCTATTGGCCTGGAAGGTCCCAGAAGTAACCCAAACATTGCCCCTAGTTGGCCACCGGAACTACACAGTAAGACCCTGCTGCTAAAGACACAACATATAGTTTGGTTGCAGGACACAGAGAAATCAAGCTAGAACTGACTTGAACATTTCCTGTCTGCTGGCTAGCTTTTATAGTGCCAGAAGGTACTATACAGGTAACTGGAGGGAGAGGAGAGTCATTGATGGTATTATCCAGCAGTGAACCCTGAATGCTACAATACTAACCTGTCAGACAAGTGGTATTCACTGGTGTAATAGTGGCCCAAAGGTTTTTAGGGGGAACTAGTCATGTTTGGACTGGATTTGAGGCCTGATCCACAGAAAGGAATTCATGCCTGGTACTGTGAAACTGGTTAAAAACCCATGGCTCAGGATGTTTATAGGCCCTATGGGGGAAACTACTACTGATATCATACTAAATGGACATGTTGTCAAACTGCCTTCTAAATGTTTGTTTACACACATAGATTAGTGCTGCCTTCAGCCTTGGCCAGAGAAGCTTCGTGGGCATCAGTCAAAGCAGAGACTCCTAACTGGACAAAATGCTGAGAACAAGTAACTATTGAATGGTCAGCCCTAACTGGGACATCTATATCAACCCCCCTTCAAGGCTCAAAGAATACCATGGAAGGTGGGATGAAAAGAACTTAAGGATGGGAAAGAATGCTATGAAATGTGGTATTCTGGACATGACATGGCCAGGCACTCGAGAACTCACAGCAGCCAGAGTTGCCTGCATAAGACCTGCACAAGATCAAGCTAACAAGACCAGTCACTATTCCAGCATGCAGCCCTAATCGGAGTCAGTGTTATAAAAGGGGGGAGGGAATAAAAGGAGGAAGGGAACAAGACTGGGTGCCCCAAGGGAATGGAAGGGGAAAGTTGATATCGCCAAGATATATTGCTTATATGTATGAAATTGTCAAAGAATAAATAAAAAGACTTTTAAAAAGCCCTCTAGTTTTAAGCTTTATCATTTCTTGGCAAATCACCTTAACTTCAAATAGTACTCTAAAACATTTTTTGATTTAAGAAATATATTGTTCCTAATTTAAAGTCATATTAAAATATACAAACAGAATAGAGATAATAGAACTGCACTGTTTACTTATGCATGATTTAATTCAAACTTTATAAAGACATTTGTTTATAAGTAGCAAGAGCTTTCTATCATTCTCACAATATACAGCTTGCTTCAATTCATTATCTTCTTTTATACTGGATACTGAATTAGAAAGCAAAAAAATTACAACATTTATACATAACTAGTATGGGAATAAACTATGTGTTATGATGTATAGCTAAGTTTTATGTATTGAAACTAAAAATAGCAAAAAGGTATAGAATAAAAAGTATAAAATAACAAATTACCTCTTATTTGCCTGTCAACAACTCTCATCTCCTTTCTTATCTTCAATGACCATTCATTGACCTGGGGAAAAGTTTACATAAGGAATTATCAGAGAAGCAAACACTAATTTTGCCAGCTTTCAAAAATTCCATTTTAATTCTACATTTATTTTAGATACAAATTTCATTTTCTTTTTCAAACAAAGGCCTTTAGGGCCTGTTTGTTTTGTTTTGGGTTTTTTGGGAGGGAAGCAGGGGACTGAGACAGGGTCTCACTCTGTAACCTTTGCTTTGTAGACCAAGTTAGCCTTGAACTCACAGAGATCCACCCACCTCTGCCTCCCAAGGTGCTAGATCAAAGGCATATATCACCAAGCAAAGTATAATCACCAATGTGCCCAGCCCGATTTTTCAACAACTCTTTTTGTTCCTAGTACAAGTACACAGGCATTCCAAACTGTTTAAAGATTCTCAAAGGCTGGCAGGATAAAGCACTTTATATAGGACCTCAGAGGGGGCATGTACCCTGTAAAGACACAGGTATTTTTCAAATGGGCAAAAATAGTCTTAGGATATCAGAAGATTTTCATTTTTTACACATAATTATTTTAAAATCTACTCTGCGTGTACACTCAGAATTCATCTTTTTCTTTTTTCCTTTAACAATGTTTTCTACTTTAAAAAGGATATTCTCCTAATCCCTATCTCTTATTAGATAGTACATTTTCCTGTCAGGTTAAATACCTCTGAAGCAGGGACTGGAGAGATAGCTCAGCAGTTAAAAGCACTGGTTTCTCTGGCAGAGGACCAGGTTTTGTTCCCAGCACCCACATGATCACTAACAACCATCCTTAAGTCCAGTCAAGGGATCCCATGTCCTCTTCTGTCCTCCTCTAGCACTGCACACACATGGTGCACTTACATACATGAAGGTAAATCACTTATACACATAAAAAAATTTTGTTTTTTTAAAAATATATTTTATTTAGCATTTTTATTTTATGTATATGAGTGTATTGCCTGCATGTATGTGAGTGCACCCATGTCATGCAATGCTGCAGAGGTCAGAAGAGGGTGTTGAATTCCCCTGGAACTGGAGTTAGGCACGGTTGTAGCCACCATGTGGGTGCTGGGAATCAAACCCGGGTCCTCTCCTCTCCAAGAGCAGTCAGTGCTCTTAACCACTGAGCCATCTCTCCAGCCCTCCCCCCCCTTTTTTTTTGCAACAGGGTCTCCATGTAGCCCCAGCTGGCGTGGAACTTGCTATGTAGATCAGGCTGGCTTTGATCTCATACAGATCTTTCTGCCTCTCCCTCCGGAGTGCTGAAGGAAAATCTGAATTGTCAGCTTATTAATCATTAAAAGTAAAATCTATATTAATCAGTGTCTGCTTTTTGGTACATGACTCAGATGAAGCTCAAAATACTGAGTGGCAATGCCATTACAATGTCCTTCCACTGCCGTCTACTTAAAGAGGTCTTCAGCACCCGAGTAGTAAAGCAAAACAGGACTAGAGGTAATGCTGGCTGAGCCTTGTAACATTTATCCACAGACACATGAACTAAACTGTGTTTTAAAAATTCCTATCACTATGTGATGTGTTTCCATTAAATTTCAAGCTTAACACTTAATAATTACTTAATAAAATCTGCAAAATATTTACAACAACTCCACTCAAAGAAATATTTCAACACTTAAAAGTGTAAAGTTAGGCTGGGGAGATGGTTCAGTAGGAAAGAGTTTGAATACCCAACACCCAGGTAAGCGTGGCCATGAATGCCTATAACCCCAGTGCTGGGGAGCAGAGACAAGTGGTCTACAGGAGTTCCAGGCCAGATAGGGTTACAAGGAGACCTTGTCTCATAAAACAAACAACAGGGGGCTGGAGAGATGGCTCAGCGGTTAAGAGCACTAACTGCTCTTGCAGAGGACCCAGGTTCGATTCCCAGCTGCTACGAACCATCCTTAACTCCAGTTCCAGGGTAATCTGAAGCCCTCTTCTGACCTCCGTGGCATTGCACGACATGGGTGCACTCACATACATGCAGGCAATACACTCACACACATTAAAAAAAAAAAAAGTGAAAAAAAAGTATGGCCTTATACTTTTATTTTTTAAGAGAGAGAGAGAGAGAGAGAGAGAGAGAGAATGCACACACATGTGTGCCTGCATGTGTATCTGTATGTACACGCAGATTCCAAACCCATGCATGCACCAGAAGAGGATGTTGGGTGTCTTGCTCTATTACTTTCTACCTTATTCCCTTGCCAACAGTCTCTCACTGAACCTGAAGCTCTCCATTTTGACTAGGCTAGTCTGGTCAACATCCTCTTCTGGTGCATTTGATTCTTAATCTGATGAGAGGTTAAGATTTATTATCAAAATTACATTTATGATAATTACTATTCAGTTTTCTGTTAAAGCCCCTATTTCCAGCTGACTGTTACTATTGGGGTATGTTTCCACAGCCTCAACAAAAGCCCTGAATATCTGCTGAGTCCTTTACTCTTGGAGTACACAAAATGCAATTTGTATGTGCTTTTATCCAGGGTTTGCCAAAAGATTCACTCAAATTCTCAGTTTCTTGACCAATGCACCAAGAATTAGAGGATCTCTTGCGATTGAGTGTCCCAGATCTCTAGGATGTTCATTTTGCAATTTTTCAGTGTCTTGATAAGTTTTCTGTCATTTCAATAGTTATACTTTTTAAAAAAAATTAAAACCTTATTTATTTGATTCCAGTAGGGCCAGTTTTAAATTTGCTAGTACACAGCTAAAACACTGAATGTTATGAGAACTCCAGAATTCTAAGTGTGTGAAATAAACTCCAACTAGTCCTAATACCATGAAACCCATGTTAATTTTTTGTTTTTAATGGTAACCAATTATATTGTCTTTTTTTTTTTTTTTTAACAGCTTCAGATCCCCCAAGGGGGTGCACCATTCTTGGAGGTACTGCAACACCAGGTCGATGCGTGGAGTGGACAGAGCAAGCTCCTATTCCAACTCTGTTTACTTCTGCTATTTTGGCAAAAGTTTGGTTTAACTCAGCTTAGTCTATAATCACTGCCATGCTATTCATTTATATTTTTTTTCTGTCTCTTTAGTAGCCCCAGCTGACCTGAAATTTGCTATGTAGACAAGGCTGACCTTGATCTCACAGAAATCTCCCTCCACCTGCCTCTCGGTGCTGGGGTCAAAGGCATGTGCCACCATGCCCAGCCCAGCATGACTTTTTTGATGAAGATATATCCTTCTCCTGTTTCATAAAAAGGCCTAGAACTAAAGACACTTCAGGAGCAAGAAACATCAAGGACATTTACATTTTGGGTTCTCAATTTTGGGTCACTTTAAGAAACTAGTGGTCTTTGGACAAATGGCTGATTTTGGGTCCCAGGATGGGAATACACAAACCATACCAAGGTATACTATGCTAGAAAGCAAGGAAGCATTCGAAGACCATTAAGATTATGTTCAAAGGAAAGAAACTGTTTAGCACCACTGACCAAACTTTTATTTCAGCATCACGCTGAATGATAGTGAGATGTGACTGTAACATACAAAGTATACAAAATTTATGAGACCAAAATGGCATGGAGAGAGCATTTTACACAACTGGAAGCTATTATGCCAATTCTTTATTCTAAATATTAGTGATTAAAGAAAGAGCAATTAAGCACTTATCCTGCCTTTTCAACAGAAAGTATATGCCTAGGCAACGAAATCACCCTAGCTAATGAGAGGGAGATCTTTATAGAAGACTGCCAGCTAACAAATGAGGAAGAAATGATAAAATTATTTTTAAAATCACCATTCAGAAAACCCTTAAAAACTAGTAGATTCAAGAAAAGGACATACATAGATACTAAAGTACTTGAGTGAATGAGAAACTGCATGCTCACGTAACACCAAAGTTATTGCTCCTCATGTTACTTTCCAGTAATGTTAAGAGGAAAACTCCTTAGACTGATTCAATTTAGTAGTTTATTAGAACAGAGGAAAACAAAACTAGTCACAAATCAGGCAACTCTTAGAACCAGAGCAAGTTATGGTAAGTCCAACCAACAATGTGATTAGACGGCATTTGTAGAAAAATGGTGCTGAGACAGACAGCAATGTAACTACCTGTCAGAATGCTAACCAGTCAACAAGTTACCACTTAGCTAGTTAAGTGGCAGCAGGATATTTTTACAACTAATCAAAACTTAGTTTTGTTTTGTTTTTTCCTTTTTTTGAGACAGGGTCTCAATATGTGGCCCTGGCTGGCCTGGAACTCATTCTGTAGACCAGACTGACAACACACAAGAGATCCATTTACCTCTGCCTCTTCAGTACTGGGATTAATAGCACACACGTGCTAACACGCCCAGCCTTACTTACCATGATTAAATTATACAGGTTTAGTGCACTCTAGTGAATCCATGCAGATGCTCAATCCAAGTCAATGGCCTCCCACAAAACTCTACTGAATAGCAGCAAAAGGAACTATAACAACACAGGAGATCTGGCTTGTTGTGACCTCAATCAGGCGACCAAAGTTACTAGCAAGCTTATTAATAAGACAATTGGCCAAATATAGAGGTACACGTCTGTAATTCCAGCACTCAAGATCACCAGTTCCAGCCAGCCAGGGCAACACAGCAAGACCCCTGTCTCAAAACAAACAGAGACTACTTACCAAATGTCCTCTGTGATACAGTATGGAGTTCATAGCTTACCTGTGAGGTATTCTTGCTAAAATTGTTCAACCTGGATCTAATCAAGTTTGCATTCAATTTCCATCTCATACAAAATGACACAGAGGAAAAAGCTAAGCATAAGATATAATCAGACATTCCAGAATGAGGGCTATGTCACAAGACAAATGGCCAACTCTAAAAAGTTTTGTTTTTAATTTTTATTTATTTATTTTATGTGTATGCATGTATTGCCTGCACGTAGATAAGCGCACCCGTGTTACGCCATGCCTGCAGAGGTCAGAAGAGGCTGTGGGATCCCCTGGGACTGGAGTTATGAACAGTTGTTAGCTGCCATGTGGGTGCTGGAATTTGAACCCGGGTCTTCTGCAAGAACAACCAGTGTTCTTAACCGCTGAGCCATCTCTCCAGCCCCTTATTTATTTTTTACAAGTTTTTAAAACAAGGGTTAAACTAAAAAAAGAATGCACAGTAATGTCTGAGAAATCCCTCTCTACAACATCCAAATTTTTTGATAAAAATCTTTGTTTTCTGAGTCACACTCAGGCTGGCCTTGAACTCTTGAGTTCAGTAATTCTCCTTCCTCAGCCAGTAGCTGGAACTACAAGTCCTCACCACTGTACCTCGCCTAAAGTCCTTTATTATGTGATCTTTCCTGTTATATTTTGCTCCCTGCTATAAAATTACATTTGCAGAGCTTAAATAAACATGTAATTTCAATCTGCAAACTTCAGAACATTATAGAGAAGCGCATTTTGTGGTATGTGTATATTTTTAAGATGCCTGTTATAAAACTTTTTACATATTTTTATTTTATATGTATGTGTTTTTGCCTGCATATACAGATGCACAGATGCATGCAATACCCTCAGAAGCCAGAAGAGGTTAAAGGACCGTTTTAGCCACCTTATGGGTTCTAGGAACAGATCCCTGGTCCTCTACAAGAGGAGCCAGTGATTTTTTAACTGCTGAGTCATCTCTCCAGTCCCTTAAGTATCTTTTGATGATAAGGAAATCATTATTTTCAGTATGTGGGCTTAGCTTTGCCATTCACAAATTGAGATAATGAATCCAAAGAAAAGTCTCCGTATGTGTATTACTTGTATAATACTTTGGTTATTTTAAAATGATGACTATAATTGCTAAGAACACGATGTCAATTTCTCTTCCTGTAGGGTAGCCTATCTAGGAAAGCCACACTTGCCATAACTGAACAGGTAAGACAGGTTTCAGTGCTGTAGAGAAGTGTGCACATACTAATCACTAAACATAGTGTCAGAATTCAAAATCTGATTAAAAATATCTGGTGTTGGACCCCACGTGTCTAACAATGCTGAGACAGCTGATAGAACCTGAGTGACAAGGCTGGGCATTAAATATATTTTAATTTTTATTTTTATTTATGTATGAGTGTTATGCCTGCATGTATGTGGGTGCTGTGCAGTGCCCATGGAGGACAGAAGAGGGCATCAGATCCCCTAGAACTGGAGTTACGGACGTTTGTTAGCCACCATGTGGGCTGGGATTCCAACCCTGGTCTTCTGCAAGAACAGCCACTGCTCTTAACTTTTGCGCCATCTCTCCAACCAGGACTCGGTATTTGAAGAATGCGCCCCCATTACCAATATCAGCCTAAACTTGACATCGTTTAGTCATCATTTACTGAGGTAACAATAACTATTCTTGACAGATGAGGTTCTCAAGATCACAAAGCTGACCTGTGAGGAACCAGGATGCACACTTAGGCAGTCTAATCTGCAGGACACGTTTAAGTTGCTAGCTTCCCACACTAAAGTCACAAGCAGACCTAAGCGCCGGTGTAGAGCTGTTTTCTGCAGCATTCTTTTGGGTCGGGTGCCGGTATTGCTATCGCGCCTCTGGAGTTGGCAGGAGGCCCAAGGCTGGGAGGAACCGAGCTTCCCAGAGGGAAACTGAGGAAGACTGCAGGCGACCCTCCCGTGAACCGGTTCCACTCGCAGAACCTTCCGCTCGCCAGGGAGCGAATGCACCCACCTGCCAGGTCGGCCGGTGACGGCGCAGGGGCGGGGCCTGCGCATGAGAAAAGTTCCGGCGGCACGTACCACCGAGCCAGGGGGAACGTGGTTTCCGAGGCCGCGGTGTGTCGCTTCCCAGCGCCCACTGGCGACGCTGAGGCGCCCTTGGCCCCAGCCCTCCACACCCTGGCGGAAGGCCGAGTGGCAAGGGCGCTCTCCTTCCTCACAACCCACTACTGCCGTCTTCGCTCGGCCCCTCCGTAGAGTGGGAGGCCCCGGAAATGGGGGCCGGCGGTACCTGGTCGGCCGGAGGAAAGCATTACCAGCGTCGCTACGCCCCGCGCGCTGCTTCCCCCACTCGCTCGCCGCGGCTACTGCCCTTACCAGTTCTTTGGGAGGCTTCTCCTGGGTTTTCCCAAACAGCCCCATGGCGAACTGAATTCCACTTGCCCCTTCCGGCTTTCCGTTCCCTGCGCCTAGGCAGGTCACGGGTAGCCGCCTGGGCGGGGCCCACCGAGGAAGGGAATCCAGATGCCCAGTGAAGGGCGCGGCGGCAGCAGGGGTAGTACGCATGCGCCTTGCGCAAGCGCACCGTTGAGTTGGGTGGGGCCTCTGGTCCGGAAGTGCGATGTCGTTGATACGTAGGGGAGGTTAAGGAAGGTGTGAGAAGAAAGTTTGTAAGATAGTTTGAGTACATCCTCAACCTGTCTGTTGTTGTGCCAGAAGTCTGTATCCCAACGTAGCTTCGTATATTTGCAACCACTTCCCAAATACTTGTGCTCTTTATGTCCAGTAGTCACTTCACAGGCAGCAACTCTCCCCTCGTTGCACCTAGTTAGAAAAATTGTTCATCGCCTTCGCTAGAGTTTTGAGTAAGTCTTAACAATTCTAACTTTTCATCGTGTCAAAATTTCAGCTCTTTCCTCCCGACTGTGGCAGCTTCTGCTCAAGTCACCTCCATTTCCAGAGTAATTCTATAAACATGGTCCTATGCTGATGCTCTGGAAGAAGAGATGGTCTCGAGAGAGATGTGTGCCCTCCGTTTGACTAACAGGCTGTAACTTTTTTTTTTTTTTCCACTTGTAAAATTAATGTTAAAAAGGTATGCAGGCGTCAGACCTGAAGCTGACTTCCAAAGAAGAGATGAAAAGGGAGGCCATGCTGCACCTGTCAAGAAATTAATTTAGTATAAATCTTACCTTAAAAAAAAAGAAGATTCTTAACAGAAGCAACCTGAGGTCTGTCTGTTCCAGAAGGAACAGTTAGCATGTCCTACAGTTAAATTTTCTTAGGATCTAGCCTTTGTCTCATGACTTTCTTATCTTACTGTCAGGATTTTTTTTTTTTTTCTTCTTTTTTCTGTGTTGCTCTGGCTGGCCTGGTACTTGCTATGTAGGAGGGATTCTTTATTACTACTTCAGTCTTTCTGTTCATTATAGATCTGTTTTAAGTTGTTTGTATCCTCTTGTTTTAATTTTTTTTCTCTTGATTTAATTTTGATATATGTTTAGGAATTTATCTGTTTCTTCTAGATTTTCCAGTTTGGGGGAATATAGATTTTTAAAGTATTCTCTAATAATCCTCTGGGTTTTATTGGTATATTTTGCCATGCTCTGTTTTATTTATTTACAGTTTTATTCATTTGGGTCTTCTATTTCTTTTGGTTGGTTTGAATGAGGGGTTGTTGATCTTGTTCATCTTCCCAAAGGACCAATTCTTTGCTTTTATTTATTTTTTTTTTTTAAAGACTGGGCCTATCATACCCAACTGGCTTGGAACTCTCTGTGTAGACCAGGCTGCTGCCATCTCACAGAAATCTACCTGCCCCTGCCTCCTGAGTGCTGGCATGGAAGGCATGCACCATCATGCTCCGACACTTCTTTGATTCTTCGTATTGTTCTTTTAGTCTCCATTGCATCAATTTCTGCCCTGCTTTTTATTTTCTTTTTTCTGTTCGTTTTTTTTTTTTTTTTTTTTTTTTTTTTTTTTGTCTTTTTGAGACATGGTCTCCCTGTAGCCTCAGCTGGCCTGGAATTCACTATGTAGACCAGGCCGGCCTGGAACTCACAGAGATCTGTCTGCCTCTGCCTTCCAAGAGCAGGGATTAAAGGTGAGCACCACCACACCGGGCCTATTTTTCTTCTTCCTCTTTCTTTTTTTTTTCTTCCTTTTTTTTTTTAATCTACCGAATTTGGGTTTGTCGTGTTCATTTTTTTCTAGGACCTTGATGTGCATCATTAGATTGTTTTTTAGAGTTCTCTCTGATTTTTTAAATGTTAGACACTCATAGCTATCAATTTGCCTCTTAGAATTGTATTTCCTAGGATTTAGTCCCAGGGCTGAGGCAGGCCTCCGCGTGGGGCGGGGGGGAATGACCGGGCGGTGCTGGCTCCCGAGATGGTGCGGTTTCCAGTTGCAACACAGAGATCACAACAAGCTCAGCCGCAACCCTTTGGGGTTTTGGAAGAGGAGGAGGAACTGCAGTGCAGAATCTTCCACAATCTGTAATTGAAAATATTGAAGGAAAATTTTTACATCTGATCTTACAGACTTAGGAGTACATTAAAAAGGTGCTGATATTGATGTGTGTTGCACCAAGACATGTTGATCGAAGTGATTTTTTTTACCTCATTCTACGATAAGTTGAAATTACAGGAAGAAGTAAAAGACTTAAGAGCTGTTGAAGAGGCATTTGTACCAGTTATTTTGATGGGATAGAGGCATTATATTGTACTTCTAGCAAGTGCATCAACAGAAAAACAGCACCTAGAATGGGTGGGCTTGGAATAAAAAATCTGCATCCTGGTTGGAAGCCTGGAGAAGAACGAATTTATCACACTGGCTCATGTGAATCCCCAGTCATTTCCAGCCCGGGAAGAAAATCCTGACAAGAATTTCACACAATGTGGGTGACTGGATTAGTGTTTTAAAAAACAGAAAACTCGGTTTGGGCCCTGCGCCATTCCTAGTCTTGGGGCCCCAGACACCTGGGGAACCAATACTGCTTCCTGATCCTTCTCACCCAGACCAGCTCAGTCCGGTTCTTGGGCCCCAGGGGCACCGCTTCTGGTTCTGGCCCCGCCCTCACCTCTCTCTGCTTCCCTGGGCCTGCACCACCGGCTAACTCTCCTAGCCTGCACTGCTATCCTCAGGCCTCTTGGGGTGCCTTCAGGAAATAGGTCCATTCTGAATATATCACATAAATAAACTGCAGTGGGGAAAGGCCTCTTCGTTTGAAAATGCCATATTCACAACAGCTGAAAGGAAGGTTCATTGAGTAACATTATCTCACATTTCTACAGGAGCAGTATAAGTGCTTTTCCCCTAAGCACTTAACATAACAAAATTGCCTCACTCGTCATGGCAAAGCAGCCACCTTTGGAGAGGTACACGAAGCTGTTTTTCAGGATGGAGTAACACTTCAGATGGAAGAGGAAATAAGAAGAATTCTGCATCGAGTGGCAATGGCAGGGGAATTTAAGCAGCCAGAATAAAATTACTTACTTGGAACTGGGTCAGAACCCTGAAACTAACTGTACAGATGCTAGACTATTCTGAGAGAGACTACTGGTTATTTGTTAAATAAACCCATTCTGGTGCCTAAAAAAAAACAAACAGAAAACTCTGAAAATCTCAGTGTCGATCTCACCTATGCCATTCAGTCGTTCGCAGATACAGTTTATAGGCAAGCGATAAACAGCAAGATGTTTGAGGTGGATATGAAAATTGCAGCAATGCATGTAAAAAAGAAAGCAGCTTCACCAACTCCTACGTATCCATGTGCTTCAGAAAAAGAAAAAGCATTCAACTGAAGGAATCAATTTAGCAGCTCTAAATGACAGCAGCAGTGACTTGTGTATGGACAGCGACAACAGTATGTCTGTGCCTTTACTCACTAGTGCTCTGAAGACCAGTTCCTTGAACAGCTCTGGTAGCTCTCAGGCCAGAAACAGTCCTGCTCCAGCTGTGACAGCAGCATCTATGACCAACACACAGGCTACTGAAGTCTCTGTGCCCCAAGTAAATTCCAGTAAAAGCTCAGGGGGTTCATCCAGTGAAAGCATTCCTCAAACTGCCACACAACCAGCCATTTCTCCACCACCAAAGCCTACGGTCTCCAGAGTTGTTTCCTCAGCACATCTGGTAAACCCATCAACTAGACCTTCAAAATGCAACAAAAATACCTAATCCTATAGTAGGAGTCGAGAACATCCTCACCCCATAAAGAAGAAAGTCCTAAGGAAACCAGAACAGAAGAGCAGGATGAAACAAGTGAAGATGCTAACTGTCTTGCTTTGAGTGGACGTGATAAAACAAAGGAACAAGTTGATATAGAGACAAGAGTAGCTCAGTCAGACACTGTGCAGACAGTGGCTTCTCTGTTGGCCTCTCAGAAAATGTCCAGTATAGACCTTTCTGATATTCCTGCTCTCCTTGCAAACCCTATTCCTGTTATCAAGAATTCAACAAAACTGAGACTGAATGGGTAAAACCACCTCACGGTCCATAAACAGTATCTGCTAACTCAGCCTATTGTCTTCAGATGCTAAAACAAAAAACTAAAATAAAACAAAAAAGGAGCGCTGAAGGTAGAAGACTAGACATGGCTGGCAGTGGGTTAGGCTTTGGTGACCTCCCTTACTGGGCTGCAGCAGTTGATTGGAAGTCCAGGTTAGTATGCAAAGCCAGGAGTACCATTATTACTGTGCCGGGACAGTTGCATTAAGTGTTTCAGAAGGATTACTGCCTTTAAAAGCGGGGGGGGGGGGGATCAAGCTACGTTTGTGTCCCTAATTGACATCTGGGTTGGATTTATGTTTGATGCATTGTTTGAAAAACTTGCAGTACAAACTAGCATAAGAATTCCTTATTCTGATGATGCACTTTTATGTATTTTTTATTAGAAAGTAGAACTAATTTTAGATTTTCAGCCTAGTGGATTTTCATTTTTTCCCCCAAAGAATTTCCTTTCCAGTTAGTCTTTGAGTTGGGTGCCATTGTGGAGTGCTGCACTGTCAGCCTCAGCAAGATGAGAACTCATTTAGTTGAGTCCTCTGAGGGATAGCTGTAACCCTTAACATGAAATGCCAGTTCTAAGAGATGCATTTGACATTGAAGGAGTAATGAGAAAATACTTGGTTTCGATGGTTGTGATTAGGAGGTGCGTACTGCTGCTCTTCATGCAACTGTGTCCTCGTGCACAGGTGAGCAGCGGCCAGCAGCCGTCTGTGTCTGCTGCAGCTCTGCTCCTCTGCCTTCAGTCTGTTATCTTCAAAACAACAGCTGTTCCTCCCCTCCCTTTTTCTGTTTTCTTTTCCCTTCTGCTTGTATGCACAAAACCTAAATGCCAGCATTTTCCTAAGCCATGACATGAAACCAAGTGGTCCTTGGCTATGTGTCACAGAACACTAAATTTTGGTCCTGTGGCTGAAATTTAGAGTGGCCCAAAACTAATGCCTGTGAAGCTTCTCTGTGTGGACAGCTGTACGCCTAGAAGAGGACTTTTGTACACTCCACAGCTCCTGTTCCTGTCTTACAGAAATTGATGTTCAATTTTAAACATG